CCAGTTTCATAGTGCTGCTGCCACAACCCAGTAGAGGGCCCCCACCCGCCAGTCAAAACCAATGATTGAAATAAAGCCTGAACATAGCAACCTTCTTTCTGCTAACCCCTTTGATGGGGAAGCTCCAAAGGCCAGATAATGGGGGTTTCATGGTTCAGGTAAGAAACCTCCCCAAGCTGAGTTTTCTTTATCCCTGCTTTATGTATTATTTAAGTGAAATTTTAAGTGAGGCTACTTTTGGTTAGGTCCCCATTACCAAATTTTGTTGACCAAGCAAATTCTATGGACAGAGAAGCCTGAATAATAAAGGGGTTATGCCAGAACATTCTGATCAGATCAGCCTCCTTGTTAGCGCCCCACCCTGTTAGGCATTAATTCTATGCCCTTTCTGCATAGACAGCAAGAAGCCTTGGGTTTCTGCACTCCCCCTTTCCCTTCTTTCTTCTAGCATGCCTGCAAGGAGAAAACCAGAAATATTCATTTCTGCTTTCAAAATAATCAAAGATCTATGTTACATCCAAACTTGGTGAAACTCTGGGTAGTATGAACAAAACATTGTTTAAACTAGTCAAAATTTAATGCTGGTTCCAATTCTGTTTTTTAATTAATGCTAGTTCCTCCAGTTCAGACATAATGAGGAACTCAGGCTAGTTCAGAGGCAATTCTTTCTCATTGCCTCCTCATGGTCATGCTGAGGAAGAGGTGAGGAGAATGCATGAACCGGGACTTGCTGCTGATCATGCTACATTAGGTGTTACTGCTACTCGTATAAGCATGATGTCTAAGCCAAGCCTTATTACAAATAGTCTGTTCCCAACTGCAGAAATTAAGAGCTGCAGATAAGGCAAATCACCTGCAAAGGCTGGAAGAAAAAATAATAAGTAAACTTGGCCTTTAGCAAAGATGGCTCTTATCAACAATTAATAATTAAGAAAACTAATAGTTCTTCTATTAATTTCTCAAAGCATTTAAAGACTGTCAAGTTGTTCAACTAGACAGCCAAGCAGTTGATGATTCTGGGAAGGATTAAAAGATTAAATGTATTTAATTGCAGGAGCAGCAAATGTTTGAAGCGCTTCTAAATTATTTGTTTAGAAAGAACAGCAAAGTCAGTCTTACTCCTTTGTTGGCAGCAATACAGCATTCTGCTATTCTCAACCAGAGGCGAGGGTTTGAGTGGTAAACCTGGACAGCTTCTATCAGACATTCAAAAGCAGCTAAAGGTCTCCCAATGTGTAAAAGCTGAATGCCACAGTTATACAACAACTCATAACGCTTGTTAGTCAATAAGGTGCACATTGGTCGTCCTGAGAACTTTTTACCTGCAAAAATAAGCAGATAATATTAATTGTGCAGTGTAAGAGGAAAGAATTGGAACAACATTGCTAGACAATGCCAAGTTTGAATTAACTTATATCCTAAATACCACCATTCAGTATACTACTTCGCAGTGGTCACTCTATTTGGCTTAAAAACAATCTTCTGGGGTAAACTCATTTCCATTCATATTTTATGGACTGAGGGAATGGGATGAGAAATATTTATTTATTTATTTATTTATTGCTTGCTTGCTTGCTTGCTTGCTTGCTTGCACTTGTATGCTGTACCTCTTAGCCAAAGGCTCTCAGGGCAGCTTACATAACACCAATAAAACACCAATAAAATAGTTCAAGTAACAATGAAATAATAAAACAACAAGAGACTAAAACTGCAAAAATAAAATAACAATAAAATTAATCAATTAATAATAAAACCATTTAAAACAGCCCCTGAAATATCAATAATAGATATTGTCCGGCAACTAAACACTTGACATTGTAGCAGCAGCAACAATATGCCACTATAAAATCACTCACCAAAAAGAGAAGAGTAGAGACTCCTGGCAGATTTCTTTTTGGCAGGAGATTCGATTAGTAGGCTGCTAGTACGGAGAAAGCTCTGCTTTGTACGTTCATAGCCATACATGCCACTTCATGGCCTTAACTTTACAAGCCACAGAAATAGCTCCTATATCTTCCTCAAGTATACATATGACTCTGTTCATGCAAGAAAGGTACTCTCATGATCAATTACCCAATGGCTGTAATTTCTGGTATATGTTTAGCTGTTCATACAGCTAATGGAGTCTACCACACAAATAATACCTCTCAAAATCAGTTTTGGCTACTTGTATATCAGCATTTAACTAAACAGCATCTGGAAAAAATTAAAGCATCAATGTATATAGAATAAATGCTTTGGAGAAACAGATCTCTACTGTTTTTATTCCATTCTGTAACTGCTATATGTTGGAAACAATAATTTTGCTACCCAACATTAATCTGCTTCAAACACTGGCAGAGGAGGCAATTTTCTATTTTGGAGTCCACAGATTTAATTGCTAACTCCAATTGCATATTATCAATATATCTTACCTGGATCTGTGCCACCTGTTCCAAGCTGTGCACAGGCATTGTCATTTTCCTGCAAAGCCTTTTTAAAATAGAAAATTCCTAAATTGTGTTTCCCCATGGCAAAATGGATGCATCCAAGATTATTCCAGAACATGCATCGTAAGCATTCCCCTGAGATAAAGGGAGGAAATAAATTTAGTCTTTGTAACCAACATTTTTCATGCTTATCTACATATTGCTCATCTTCACACTGAAGTGGAGTTTCATATCAGCATTCCTTAAGTAAGAAACCTAAATCTAAATGAAGAAATTAAAAACAGTATTTACCTTGCATTTTTTTCAGCTACAGAGACTAAGCATGTAATGGTCATTTCTTTTGTTCATTTGGTCTACCAGGAAGTAGTAGCAAATGAAAGTTTGAGGATCTAGACAGAATACAAAAATCTTTCCACTAGATGCCCCATCATATACTATACCAACTTTAGCAGAAGCTAGTTCATTTTCAAATCACTCCTTCCAAACATGAATAAAACTAAAACATGATAACATCTTAAAACAAAAGCCAAGTTTCAATTGTTTTTAGAGTCCATATTATGCCTGTTACTGTGTAAATGTGGTCAGAAACATTCCTACATATCATAAAATTAATGTGACAATTATAAAGCTATCTATCTTCAGAACACATTATATCATTCCCTAGGAATTTTCCTTAAACACCTATGATAAATGATGAGTGAAGTGATGGGTTAGAAAAGTCTATTGCATATTTTACTGTTGGGAGTGGTACTTGTCAGTCACTCAGTGGGCACAGACAGTTATAAAAAACCAATTTTTTTAGGAGGGTAAAAGTAATAATTTGACCAAGACCTAAACAAAAGGTGAATTGGAGGTCTGCATTCCAAAATAAAAAATACTCTTCTTTTGAATTAACAGTTTCTGCTTAATTTACCTATTTCACAGAAGAAAAACTAAGAAGGCTTAGAAACAAGCAAATTACCAAAGAAAGTGAACAAAAGGCAGTGGTGAGTTCTGAGAAACAAATACTAAATCATATTTTTGCCTCCACAAAGCACAACTAAATACCCGTTTCACAGAAGGCAAAGTGGTGATGCTCATGAGACCTAGAATCTTTCTTGGAAATGAAAATCGTGTGGCACTGGGAGATAACCCTTTATATTCTGGCCCTTCAGTTATTTTAGTTTTGAAAAATTTTTAAAGTAAAAAAAAAAATCAGAAGGGGCAAAGTATACAGTCACAATGGGCAAACAGGTGAGGACCATAGGACTAAAGATACAACCATATTCTGACATGTAGGAGAAGATCCAGTGAAAACAGTGAGATTTAATTCCAAAGAAACATTTATATAATTGCAAAGTAAGCTAATATAAGTGATTTGTTAAGCAGCAAGCATTCCAGTTAAAAATAATTTGTAAGGTGTAACAAAGAAAGCACCAGTAAAAGGGAAAATACAACCACTTCTACAGAGGCTTTCAATGTTGGTACAAAAATCACTATTGGATTTCTTAATTGTTGATGCTCAAACAGAATCCAATGTTAAGAAAAAGGAAACTACAGACAAAATCCAGTAGAGATGTTTCTGTAGAAACACACATTTTACAACAATTGGGGAAACGGGGATTAAAGTGTAAAATGACATCATGTTTCTCCAAACATACACTTTTTTTACCTGTTTTCATAAATCCTGGATGTTCAGCTATGTTTGAGCTGTTCAACAGCTTCACTGCTTTCCGATAATTGCCTCTCAAGTACTCAAAGTTGCTTTTCAGAAAGAGGGAAGGAGCAGACTGTGAAGAGCACAAAACCACAGTTACTGATATGTTAAAGGATGAAATACAGTTGGAATACTCCAGTTATCTACATGGGAAAAGTAGACAGTGCAGAAATGGCTGCACACCCCACAATTAGAAAAACATTCACCATCTTCAAGGAGACCCACAGCAGCAAGCTGGGATACTGGCCCTTTTTTTGAAGGATGCTCATGAAAGGGGGCTTGTACCATTGTTCTAATTCTAATGCTAAAACGCTACAGTGTACAAGTACTAACCTGTAAATGAAACATTATGAAAAAGCAGAGTATGCAAAGTCAATTTACACTCTGTATGCTATCATAAAGTGCCAAATTCTACAGCAGATTTATAGACTGGATGAATATGATTAATAGCATAACAATCCAAAATCAGAAAGGGATTGAAGGAGAGCTCCCCCATTTAAAGGAAGAGAAATCTCAACCATATATTAAATTTCCAAATGAGAAAAATCCTTTTAGATTTTCTCAAGCTCATGACCTCCCCATCAAATAGTATAACAAAATGAGTCTTTTAGAATTACAAGTCTATGTGATTATCATGACAAGAGTCATAAATACTTACATTTCCAGCTGTATTCATAACAGATTTGATCTCCCTCTTGCAAGCTTTTAGAGATTTCATCTGAATATAGGCTCGCACTTTATACTGTTAAAGATTAATAAGTAATTTCATTAATATTGAACTAAAACTATGATAGCCTCTCAGAAATTATGTTCCTTTGTGTATCATGTGATATAGTATGACATGCATGAATATGACAAAGTATAAAACACAAGTGTTCCAAATGGAATATTTAAAGTCAGATCAGAAGGTTTTAAAAATAGCTTTCAAGGTAATTATAATACTGGTAATTAAAATTAGTAGCACACTAAGCACTATAAGGGCCATCTAAAAATCCATACCATTTCTTATAGTGCAATTCTGTACATGTCTTTTCAGAAGTAAGCCCCACTGAATTTAATAGGACTTATTCCGAGGTAAGTACATACAGGACTGCAGGATTATGATCTTTTCCCAAAATAAAGAATTTACAACTGCAGAACAAAAAGTATTTTAAATTATGCTTACAAAATAGAGATGGATGTTTCTAATATTAAAAGTAAAACCTAGCTCACACATCCAAAATAGTTCAATGTTTTAGCCATGAAATACCTTCAGTATCATGGAAAGAAACACTGTTGTGAACTGAACTATTAACAATTAATTGGCCAGCAGTCATTTCCACAGTCAAAGTATCTGGAAAGAGTATAACCATGATTGTCAAAACAATGACAATCTGCTGCAAACTGCCTATACACACACCCCAGTCCACACCAAACGCCTTTTCTGCAGTATGTACTCAGGCAAAGAAAAAGAACACATATTTCACACATATTAACTAGCTTTGGATCATTTCTAAAATGCATGCAATATCTTCTCAAACGTAATTAAATATACCCAGGTAAGAGGAATGAAATCCTGGATCTAGTCCTACCTGATGTATTTTAGACTTAGCAGCTTCTGTCAGGGTTCCACTTTCAGCTTTGTGATTAGAAGTTTCCTTACTAGTGTTATTACCTGTCTGATCACAAATTGAGAGGTGAAACAGCTGTCAATTTTTGAAACCAATGAGTATGCTACATAAATATTCCCCACAACTCCCAAAACATGGTTATGAAGGAGTATCTCTCTACCCTAACCATGTTACTAAAAGGCATTGCCAAAAGAACAGATGCTTTTACTTAATAGCAAGCAGTTGACAGACAGGCACACAAAATGGGTACATGAAAACAAAACATCCTGACACAGTGCATATTTTATGGCAGGAAATCATAAGTTAACCCCCAATTCCCAGGGATGCACATTGTGTGAGAGCTTACAAATACCCTGTTTGTACATTCATTGTGTGATAGCCAAACCAGACACTGGTTGGATTCATGCAAAATGTTACACCACCTGGGTAATTTTAACCACAGGCACAGCAGAGATTGTTTCCCCACACCCCACACCCCATCCCTCTATCCCACCCTATCCCAGGTTGTCTCCTAAGGCCCAGCAAGCCATTTAGCATGCTTCTGTACTGGCCACAGTTGCGAAAGTTAGAGTAGCCTCACTTTAGTAACACTCTAAAAAGCATGTGGATTCTGTAGCAAAGGGTGCTTTCCGCACACCCCAACTTAAAAAAAAATTCTAAAGAAAGTTAGCAGTGAACTACAAAGTCACAATTTGCATGGACACAGTACACATGGCACCAACACAGTAGCCCACCCATAACATTTTAACTTGCAAGAGATGCTTTGTCCACGAGTACAAAGCATCCTTCACAGAAGAATCTTCAGGAGGACTGGGGTGTGCTCAAGTAACCCTGGGTTGTCCTCATTTTCCAATCTGTGGCTAACATAGAAGGAAAAGGGCATTCTAACCCCCAAAAAGTGACTTGGGGGATATCCCCTCAATTTCCCCTCCTTTGAAAGATACCCAGGAATTTTAGTGTGTAAGGAAGATCCTAGAGTCTCCTCAGTTTTGCAATTTACCTCAAGTGGATAACATTTTAGAAAGAGGCAAAGCCCCCCACTAGGAAGGAGGGTGTAATGTTTGTGATTTGGTTTTTTGACTTGATCATGACTTATTTTTATCTGGGCTTGGACAACACAATAAGACATAGTGGATTTATGAAACCCTACTAGAAATCATGGTTAGTTGGAATGAACCCTGCAGGAAGAGTGCTGGGTTCAGATAACACACTAGCTTACTATAGCTTATTAACAATAACTTAACATGCCATTGTTGTGCAAACCCAGTCTGGGCTTGCATATGTTAAGCCGTGGTGGTTTAGCATTTTGTGTGGATCCAGCTCTGAATTGTTTATGAGTTAAACAACCCAGAGTTAACTTATGATTTGTTGGTATGTTAACTATGGGTTGTTTAAGCCATAAACAACACAGAATATCGAGGTTCAGGCACCACACTAACAACCTACACATTGGCTCATTTATGGGTTATGTAAACCGCAAGCAGTTTTTGAGCAACATGCACTGCAGCAAATCATAGGTTAATTTATTCACACACAATCTGCAATGTAAAGTGGGTACTGGCTCCCTATCTTAAATAAATGCATATCCAATGTTAAGATGGTACAAGAAAGCAGACCTGTTTGGCTGCAAGGATTTCTAATTCAAATTGTGAGCACTTCCAATCCAAACAACATTAAATCTCATCATGGTTTTACATGGCTATTGAATTTCAAGCCTGACAAAAGCTGAATGATTGATTACTTTGTTACTATGTTCCCCCAGACCCACCTCATTTTTCCCATTTTTATTGTTGCCACCTTGTGAAATCATTTTTTCCAATACAGCAAGCAGATGCAAGGCTTTCTCAGCTTGGCAGGTCAGCAGGTATAAGTCCACAAGCAGAAAGCATACTGCCTGGGCAAACTTTTCCTCTAGAAAACAAAAGCGCAAATATTTAGTTTTTCCCTCAAGAATGGTCAAATCACCTCTTATTTTGGAATTCCTTATGAAAACCAGATACCTTTATACATTTTTTCAGGTTTAGGTGTTGACCCTGATCTCGCTTCAAGATAACTGACCAGAACTCACAAAAGTGCACACAATTTATAAATTGGATTCAGCAGACTTCTCTTTACAGGCATGACTGCAGGAGTAGACTCCATCTACTTTTATAATTATGCCACATTTACATACAACTGAGATGAAGATGGTCAGAACTCTGTGTATTTGTTATTGAACAACTTGTCTTGACTAAATACACTTTTATAAATACAGTTCTTCTTGAAATTAGAATTGGGAAATGCAACACATATAACTCTATGTCTTCAATATCAATCTTATATCTTATATGTCTTGCATAACTATAATCAAGGAATATTTGCCTGCAATGAGAACAGTAGCGGGAGCCTCTCAATCTTCTGTAGACCTACCAAAAGGTTCAATGAATTGGTAAAGCTTTTCTCCCACTGTTATTGCTTCTGTGTATTGCCGCAGATGATACAAAATAACAGCTTGGTTGTAGTACAGCATGCTGTTTTCAACATCATCCAAGCCATCCATTTCTTCAACAGCTGAATGAACCTGGTGGAGCAGACATATGCACAAAACACAAACCTGTTTGATCAGTTTCTATATATCAAAAAAAAAAAAAAAAAAACTCCATTCCAGCAATTCACCTTAAAGCTTCAAATAGGAGCTACTTTTCCTAAATGGCCCATTTGGAAGAGGTGATAAAGATTCATCAGGGCTTCAAACCATTCACATGTAAGCTTCACAGATAAAATAGCATTTTTTGCCTCTGGCTGGGTAACTGAAAAATCAGAAGCCCTCTTCCCAAGGACATCAAATGCTATCTCTCTCATTCCAAAAGTCACAAAACAATTCTCAAGGAAACAATAGGAGACTGAGAGCGAGGTTCTCACTAACAACTTCTAGCATTACAAACGGCCTGCTTGCCAGTCAGAGTGAGCTCTGATTTTGTTCAGTTTCATTTAGTGGAGCATGTCATTTAGATCTACTCAAGCATAACTTGGTCCTTTAAGTACCTGAACATGCAATTTCAGAAATCTCAGGGCATGAAACCCTGATGCATTCAGCCCATCCTATCCATACAAAAATACTTTTCCAGAGGAACTCTTTACAGGAGCTGCTGCTTATATGCCATCTTGGCTCCTCCCTTCATCATCCTATCCATGTTTACTTTCAAGTCCCAGTGGGCTACATGTGCAGAGGATGATAGATTTAGGCAACTGACATTCCAATCTTTTATATTTACCTTGAATTTTTCATGTATTATCAGGATGGTAAGGGATGTTAGAGAGAGGCACCATTTATATTCTGGTCATGAGTGAAAGTGGATCTAGAAGGGTGTATGTTTAAAGTGAAAAATGGCCCATCCTACTGGCTTTTCTTCTTAAAAACGTAAGCACAGAAGAAAACAGCATATAATCCCATGCAATGTCCTTAGTATTCCCTTCCCTTATACAGAATAATAATTTCTGTAGAATTTCTTAGAATACTAAGTATTAGAATAGTGAAATACTATAATAAAATACTATTAGTACAGTATTCTACTAGTATATTCTGCTATAGTAAATATTATTAATACTAAGAAATTAATAGAATACTAATTTCTTAGTATTCCATTATTCTACAGAATAATAATTTCTGTAGAATTATGGGTGCTGAGAAACATCTACACACATTACAAGGGGCTTTTAACAACAAAGTGGGGCCACAAAAATAAATCCACCAAACAAGCAATCACACAAGGCAGTACCTGATTTTTCAGCTGGTTAAGTGTTTGCTTCAAGTTATCTGTTGTTGTCTGATTACTCTTACAGAACTCTGCTACTGCAACATTCAAAACTATTTTATAATCATCTTTGTTTATTTCTTGCAAGCAGCTAAGGTGTTGCAGACAAGTGTCATAGCTTCCAGCCTGTAAATATGTTAAAAGTACAAGGTTTGAATGGATATATTTTAAATATCAAAAAGTAATATAGAATGCAAAAACATTTGCTGCTACTTTAGAGAATATACTAGATTGTACCTGATGCCACTTTCTCCATTCTGGAAGAAGCCATGTGTGTCATCCTCCCTCCCTCTATGTATTATGCTTAATATAAGGCTTTCTGGCTTGGTAAACAACAGTATACCATGAAATCCAGTGTGGCATGATGGTGGGGACCTGGGAGATCCAGGGTTTAGTCCCTACTCAGCCAAGAAGCTTACTGGGTCACTTTGGGCCCATTACTCACTCTCTGTCCATCCTTGTGAGGACAAAATGGGGTGAAGGGCTATATAAGCTTCCTTGAGTTTCTCACAAGAGGCAAAAAGACAGGGTATAAATATAATGTAACAAATAAAGCCTAACATTAGTCCACTTCAGACTGATCAACTAGGACTATCTTACTAGAACTAGCATTATTTCTAAGCACTCCTGTCTCAACTTACTCTTCCTGCCTCTCTTCAACAAGTCTCTTCTGCATTTCCCAGCCAGCCCTTCATTTCTTAAACAGCATCCTGCAACATCCAAACTAGGAAACTGCTTTAAAGCCAACCGCGAAGCTAGGATATGAATCCAGGATTACCTGAGGAACCAGTTAGTTGCTCTAGATATCCCAAAAGTATGCATGCACACAGCTTATTCCTGATCCCCCAAACAATAGTCTTGGACAGGCCTTAGGAGACTGAAGGGAACACTTACCTGTGAAGCTCACTGGGTGATTTTGGGCCAGTCATCACTCTCTCACATTCTATCCTACTGCACAAAGTTGTGGTAAGGATAAAATGTGGGGACAGAGGCACCATAAGCTCCTTGGATAAAAGGCAGGATGAAAATATAATGTAATCATTTGGAAGATCAGGAATTGATACAGGCAATTTCTTTTCCTATGACAATAGCAGTAGCAGCTGAATAGTATTCTTCTTACAAAAAGATTGGACCAAATGTTGAGGAAGCTTGCACATAGCAGGGTGTGTCTGTAAGAAGCAATGCCTACCTGCAAGACAAACTATCCTTCTTCAAATGACAGCATACTTTTGTTTGCTATGGAAAACCAGTAAAGTCAGGCAAATCTCAGTTTAATTTTTCTAACCTTAAATTCAGCACTGACAATGTTTCCAGTCTTAAATTGCCTCATTCTGAAGTTTTTTTAAGCTTTTAAATATTTGCCTTGATATTTGTACACAATTCTCCTCATACCTGCACTTCAGAAGCAATTTTGCCTTATTTATACATATTTTGCAGCAATTTTCCTAATAATGCATTATTATTTTTACTAGCATATGTATTTTGGTATATACCTTCCCCCATATACCCATTTTAATGCACACTTTGAACTCTGTTGCAAAATTTGGAGAACTACAAATTCGAGATGATAGAGGAGTTTCAATCATGTCTGGTTTGATAGTGCACAATACGATAAGATGGCATTAAAATGGAAAGCAGGTAAGTATCCCACTTATCCCTAACTCCAGTAATCATGTCTACAAATGAAGTGCTGATGGACATAGTCTTACATTTAAAACTGTTGTACGTGACATGGGTTCTCCCATGCTGGTCAGATCAATTCCTTAGTCCAGGTATGATCTGAAAATGTCATCTAGACTATGTTTCCTCTGCAGGAAATTAATATTACATTAGCATACTTGTAGCAATTATCCATTTCAAAGTGTGCAGCCATATTTAATGTCTAAGTGGGTGATGTGAACTAGAGAACTTGTGAGTTTTAACATTGGGCATCACTGAACACAAAGTGGAGTTGGCAATTTCATGTGAAAAAAGAGGACAGAAAATGAGTATGGATCTCTTCTTCCACATGCACAATTACAAACACATGCTACAAATTCATAATAAAGGTATTACCTAGTGAAACATAATACATTATTATGGTATACATACAACTTCAACTATGCAACAATACCTACAACAATCTACAGTGGACTTGAGAATCTCTCATTCTGAATATGATTTTCATTGTGCTAATATTTATTTATTTATTTATTTCATTTTTATACTGTCCTATAGCTGAGGCTCTCTGGGCAGTTAACCAAAGTTAAAATTAAACAAATGTTAAAAAGACGCAAGCATTTATTTAAAAGAATAAAACCATAATAGCAATTGCTGTTTCAGTACAGAAGCATAACATAAAATAAAATGGAATATATAAAAACAAAATCAAAAAGATAAACTATTAAAATACTGAAAAAAGAAAAACAAATAACATAGTAAATAATGCATATTTTTTAGCATGCTATCTTTAAAATCAGTTTACCATAAAAGCTTGCAGTGCACTGTTTGATAGCTCCTTTTCTTGATCAGTGATCCCAGAAGAGGTACCTGCTCCTTCATGTTTCTCTGTTCCCTGATCTGCAAGACAAATTAAATGTTGGAACAATACTTAACTCTGGCCATATCTTCAAACAATTTTAGGGGAACTTTTCAAGCTATTTTAAGAACAGTTTCCATTCATACAGAATAGTTCAAGGAGCAACTGACCCACCAGAGTAGTTTCTTTGGCTCCTCAAATCTAACAAGATAGATTTCATCATTAATAATTAAGCTCAAACTTGGGAATGCTGCTGGAACCATCATTGCTCCTTTTGTGATAGATGGCAACTGCTACTGGGAACGCTTTTGTCCAACTTTTTTGCACTCTTCTTTTTCTTTGAAAAGGCTTTACAGGTCTCTGTTACATATATGTTGGTTACATTTAGATTACCAAGTATTAAAATAAGCTGTGATAGATCAGATCAAAGGCCTATCTAGTTCAGCATTTCTGTTCGCACAATATTCTGTCACATGTCTCTTGGAAGCCCACAAACTGGACATAAGCAAAATAGCACCCTCCATATTGCCACCCTCCCCATACAAATTTTGCTTTGTTTTCCTTTCAGTCATATGAAGAATTCCAAATTACTGAAAAAATTGCAGGCTGTTTTATGGCTATTAACTTGGCTAAATAAAGATATTAGCCTAATGCAGATTTTGGTTAAAAAGTATGAATGTCTGCAGGCTGGAAGTCCAGTGAACCCCAAACATATTATGCTTAAGCAATGAATACCCAGGGAAAACCAGTAGAATAATGAGAGACATAAAGAAAGCAGTGCTTCTGTAGATTATTTGTTCTGCATTTTGAGAAGGTGGCAATAGTTGGAATTTATCACAGCAAATTAGAAGGCTGAATCTGCCAGACAGTGCTTTTCAGTATACTGGACAGCCCTGTTCTCTATTATATTTGGTCATTATATCTAAAAATTCCTCAAAGAGGGTCAAGATTCAGTGTGCCACACAACCCACATTATTACAAGAGATCATCAGGCACATTTTCAGTTTCTGTGGAGCTGACTACATAAGAAGCAGTATAACAGAATACAGTCACTCATTATTCTCCCCCTTAAATGACAGTGCCTCAGAAAGTCTGCCCTTTTATGAGAAAGTCACACTGCAGTGCTCTGCAGAAAGATTCTCACATATAGCCTTCAAATACATGATGCAGCAACTAAGCTCAAGTCAAGCTGTTCATTTATTTATATCCCACCTTTTTTCTTGCAAAGAACTCAAGGTAGCTTACATAAATCTCCCTGTCACCATTTTATTCTCACAACAACCCTGTGAGGTAGTTTAGGCTGAGTGTCTATGACCCAGCGAGCTTCATGGCTGTGTAAGGACTAGAACCTAGACCTCACAAGTCGCATTCCAGCATCTCACTACACTGCCTCTCAACCAAGCAGTTCTGGTTTGGCTACTGAACAGGAAACTCTGGGAACTCTCAGGTATGTTTCTTAATTTATTTAAGGAAAGAAAAGTGAGATAGCAGGTGCATATTTTTAAAATTCTGCCGCCAGAAGAAATCAGCCTAAATCACAAAGAGAAAACATTTTCTTTTAGAATGCTGTTGGGATACTGGCCTAGAACCACCTGCACAGTGCGGCCAGATGTGAAATTCTCCAAGATTCAACATCCACATTCTCTATGATCATCATTTCCATACCGCCCATGCACATGGTGATTTTCAACAATGCATACAATCACAACAATACAATAAAATGCTATACAAATGGAATCAATATTAACATGATTTTAAAATAGCTAATACAGTAAAAATGAACCTGTTAAGAAAAAAAAATCACCTGGGATGGGTAATCTTCTCAATCTCCCGGGTAACTAAGTCGATCTTTAAAGGCTTCAGCAAAAAGAGCTGTCGCAAACTGGGTCGGCACCAGATGGGCCACCAAGGCGCCTCCCCCATGTTGCCAGCCTCAGAGATGGCACTTTGAAGATGACCTCAGAGTTTGAGCACAGTGCCCAAAGAGACTGAGAGAAGCATTCCAACAAGTATTGTGGTCCCAAGCCATATAAAGCTTTCTAGGTTAAAACAAGCACCTTAAATTGGAGCCAGAAACATACAAGTGGACGAGAACTGATTGTATGTTCAGACGTACAGGTCCCTATAATACATTTGGCTGCCACATTCTGCATGAGTTGCAGTTTCTGAACTTTCTTCAAGGGCAACACCACATAGAGTGCATTGCAGTAATTTAATTTAGAGATTACCAGGGGAACGGTTACTGAAATCAGGTTATCCCTGTCCAGATAGGAGTATAGTTGGGCTACCAGGCACTCTGACCCACTGAGGCCATCTGAGCCTCAAGTGATAAAGATACATCAAGCAGCAACCTCAAGCTATGAACCTGCTCCTTCTGGGGGAGTGCAATCCTATCCAGAAGAGGTTGAACACCCTTCATCTAGCCAAAGGAATCTCCCATCAAAAGCATCTCAGTCTTTACTGTGTTGCTGAACAATATTCCCTAAACATCACCATCTGGAGATGGCCCTCCATATAGGAGCAGAACCACTGCAACACAGTACCCCCACTTGTAACTCAGAGTCTCTCCAGAAGGACACCTTGGCTGATGGTATCAAAAGCATCTGTGCAGCAACAGGGTTGCACTCCCTGTCTCTCTTGCCATAGGCCATCATACCGGGGGACCAAGGCTGTTTCCATGGCAAACCCTGGCCTGAACTCCGACTGAAAAGGAACAGATAATCAGTGTCATCCAAGAGTGCCTGGAGTTGCTTGGCAAGTACCCTTCAAGAACCTTTCCAGTAAAGGGATATTAGCCACTGGCCTAAAGTTATTAAGGTCTTCCGGGTCAAGGGAGGATTTCTTCAGAAGTGCTGTCATTTAGTTTCTCAGGACTGTCCTATGGCGGGGGAAGAGTAGAAATGACAACTTTAGCCTCCTTTCATACTCCTCCGTTTTCCTTCAGGGAGCACCAACAACTGCTCTTCGCGTTTAGCACAATTCAAAAGGATAGATGGTTCCCGCGCCCATCTCCGCTCTCTTTTATCCTCGTCCAACTCCCCTTCAGCCACAATGCTACTACTAGCGACAAGAAAATAAGAATCCTATTTTAAGAAATACTCCACAACTCGGCTTGGTAACCCACCCGCTGGCCAGCTCTAAGCTATGCTGCGGAGGAACACTTGGTGGGCACTCTCTACTCAGAGACCGAGCAAGCGCGAGTGGCGGTATCATTCCGCCACGAGCACCACAGAGGGCCTCGCGGAGGAAAAACAAGTGCCCCGGGAACAGCAGCGCGCCTCTAGGAGTTAGCGCCTTTGTCCTCACCTCCGCTTTTGTCCGCTGCCATTGATGTCGCCGGAACTTCCAGCGGACAGGAGACGGAATAATATTTTAAAACCTCTCAGGCCGGCACGTCCTCAGTCGTCTCCGCAACGGCCCCGGCTCTGAAGAGCCGTCCGGAGGAAGACCAGGTGGGGTAAGGGGCTAATTTCAGCTAATATTGCCCCCTCGGCTTTTGACGGAGACCTCCTTTTGCTTCCGGGTTAGGTTTAGAGGAAAAGATGAGCCCCTCTAGGCTGAAAATGGCCTCTCACTGGTTGGAGCGTAATGATGTCACGCGAGACGCTTCCGCAGTGGGCGGAGTTAGGATCTTTCCACGCTTATGCGGGCGGCAGCGCGGTGGTGAAGAAGAGTGGTGTGTTGCCTCAGTGCGCAGAATACCGGATATAGCAGTGGGGTGGAGATTTTCTTGCGGAAGGGAGTTTAACTCCCTTGACTTTTGCATTTTAATGCCAGGGCTCAACGCTAGAATGCAGGAAATAAACAGTGTGTGCGCCTTGATGTGCAACGTACTTATCGGTGTTGCTGCTGAATCACCTAAATCAGCCAAAACTGAATAGTTTATGAGCTGCAATGCTATGCATAGTTAGACGGAAAAGTTCTATACCTCCCAGCATTCTGCAGCGAGTGCGGCTAGAGTTAGGGGACATTTTCCCTGCTTAAACGTATATATGATTTGTACTTTTAGGTGCAATACTGTGCAAATTTGGACAGAAAAAGGCTACAAGGAAGCTTTATTCCTATATTTTTTTTAACGCACAGGCTTGTGCATTGTTGGGAAGCACCGTACCGATATTTCTGCTCACTTGTTCACATGCATGCCACCACCACCAATTCCTAGTTTACAACTGCTTCTACATTATTAATAAGTTAAGCATAACCTCCCATCCAAAAAAACTGTTTTCCAGCTCTAATATGTTTGTGTTCACAGAAAAAGGAGTGCATGTACTGTCTTGCCTTTTAAGCTCATTCAAATGATAGCATCAGAACAGCGTTTCTGCTGCCCTGGCACTAAACGTCTTAACTTTAGAACAAATGTTGTTTTGCTGTAGAAAAACTATTTGAGCATAGTATTTCAAATACATTTTAAAAGTAAAAAATAATATTAGCATCCATAACTATGTACATGCCTGGCTGCGATTTGTCTAACAATAACATGCTTTTAAAACTGGGTATGCTGTGGTGATCAGCATTAGCCCTGTCATGTTTATGGTGGCACAGGCACCAATGTCACCACTGAAATCAGATTCATCACATCTAGGATGGGACATGGAGTTCCACAGGATGTGGTGGCCATCAGTGTACATGGTTTTAAAGGTTGATTAGACCAATTCATTGAGGTTATACCTGTCAGTAGGAACTAGTTCTATTTGTCATGTTGGCTGCACTTGATCTCTGATACCAGGCAAGTATGTCAGTCACTTCGGAACTTGAGTGGGAGGGTTCTATTGCCCTCCTGTCCTGTGAGCGGGCTTCCCAGAGGCATTGTCTTGACCACTATAGCAAACAAAGTGGGAGTAGATACAGGCTACAGTTTGACCCAGCAGCCCCCCCCCCCAATATGCTTGTACCAGTTTTACTGGGACTTGCCACAAAATACGGCAATGAAGAGACTGAGTCAGTCCTCCTGTTTTTCCCCTCTAATAAACAGACAGCATTCTGACTATGCTTAGTTCTCACTAGGCTGTTTTTCTCCTATCCATCCTTTTGAGTTTCTCTGCCTAAAGATTTTGTGTATTTTCATAAACTTTGGGGTTCACTTGAGCCTATCCCTCCTACTTCTTACCATGGGTGGTACTATTCTGGCTGTAATCACTTTTGCAGTATACACTTGCCACAGGTGCTTGGCAAAATAATGCTTTCATGCCTTATGAACTAGACCAGACAAATATGCTATAGGGCATGCTAGAAAAGTTGGTGTTTTGGGAGCAAGTTATACAATACAATAAGATGAAGAACAATGAAAATAAGCTTTTTAATGCAAAACAGGTAAAAACATGGCAGCCACAATTTGGTGGACTGTGATGCATCCCCAAGTCCCACTGGAATAAAATTTAAGTAAGCATAACTTGTGATGTTGTTGGGGACAATATTACCACAAAATGTCTTTAATGGCTCATGTCACCAGATCACATGGAAGTGATAAATAGCATTTAGAACTAGGGCTCTTCAGGTTGCCATCCTATTAAGTTCCATTGTATTCCATGGGGCTTACTTCTGAGTAGATAGGTATAGAATTGCACTATTACTGTAGTTCCTAGTTCTATGCTGTTGTGTCTTCAAAGATCAGAGATATATTATGCTTTCCAGTAGACATACTTCGTTTAAAAGCATTTGTAAGCTGCCCAGAGAACCTTCAGTTGATGTGACAGCATAGAAGTGGAATAAAATAAATAAAAATAACAAACAACCCTTCACCATGTTGAGGACCAGATATTTGGGGTCTCCTTCAAAACAGGAATCCAGAAGCTATGCATTTTCTTGCATCTTAGCAGGCTGTTACTGAAGATGTGAAAGAAAGATTAAATGTGCCATTTGGGTATCATGAGGAACAAGCATTAGCTGGAAAACTGGCAGCTGTCAATTGCTTAGATGGAGAACATTTAAGGGTGTACTCTTATGCATATTTAGCTAAAAACAAGTCCTAGCACTCCTCGCATTCCTCAGCCAGTATTCCTCAGCCAGCTATTGTAGGATTTGTTTCTGTCTAAATGTGTATAGGTTTGAACTCTAAGAAACATTAAAATATAGGAACCTGGACTATCAATGAGATAATGCTGAGCTGCATTTTTAAAAGAGCAACACCTGGGCAATTTCTTAATGGAGTGCCTAGGAAGTACAGACACATAATTTTGGCAAAACTGTCACTGCCTAATTATCCTGCAGAACTGCAAAAATAGCTGGGATAGCAGATGGCTGGAACAGAAGGTGATGGTATTGACATGTCCATAAATGCTAAGCTCGTATTCAGGGTTCCTTTAACTCAGAAACGTGATATAAGGGAACTTGAAGAGTGAGAATTCCTATCCAAGCAGTAACTGCCAAAGAACAGGCATATAGAACAATTAAAGGTGCAATCTTGTACAAATTTAGAAAGGAAAAAGGCCTACAACTCCCAGAATACCCCAGCTGGCTGGTCCTGCTGGAACTGGTACACCATTTTTCTGTCTAAACTTGAAAAATAGATAATTTACTTGCCACTTTTTATTATAGTTTTATTTAAAGGGGTTTGCCACCAGGTGGCATTATGTCAATTTGATTTAATAAAATCTTTCCCTTCACTATCTAAATTCTCTTAATAAATGTAATCTGAAATGGAATGTTATTTGTAGCCCTCTCTGTCTGCACGCACATGTACATACCTCTATATATGGAAAGCAATAACAACCCTCAGGTTTCCAGTAGTTACTGGTGCCAAAAAAAAAAAAAACATAGTCCCAACATTTAAGTTACTGCCCAGGTGAGGAATCAGAACTCTCTTCCAATCTCATCCCTGAGCAATGAGTTTTTTCAGACACTAGGTACACTTCGAATATAAAATCTCCAAAAGATTTACAACACACAGGAGTTATTTCAATATAATCAATGTGAATTCACCCCTGTGCTTAAAATCTTTATTTCAATATTTTGTCAATGTGCATACTTTGGGCTACTACAGCAGTGGGCAAGGTGTTGCCCTCTGGATGTTTTGGCCTACACCTTCCATGATCCACCACAGGCTATGCTGGCAATGACCATTGGGAGCTGTAGGTCAGAACATCTGAAGGACCACAAATTACCCACTACTAGAGTATGAAGAATAACCATACAATTTCAGTGCCAACAGCACTAAATAAACAAAAGTTTTAAGCATTATACTTAAATACATATAAAATATATTAAATGTACTTCAAACTAGTACACTGATGGCTGTGTGTGTGTGTGTGTGTGTGTGTCTGTCTGTCTGTGTAATATCTTAGGAATCCTATACTGGAGTTCCACACTTGTGCGATTCTTGAATATATGTGTATTGTAGGAGGGAAGGAAGGGGAAACAGAAGTCAAGAAATAAATATCTGATCATGTCGTAGATCCAATTAACTGTGACAAGGCTAGTAAACTCAAGTGTGTAACAGAGAAATGCTTCAGAAAGCAGCTTTGTGTTTTGAATCTATCCGGAGATTGCAGGAGACCAGCTGGACAAAGGAGGGAGAGGATTGCTGCGTTTAGTGCCTTTCCCTCCCTCGAGGCTCCCTTCACATGGAGACTGGGATACCATGCCAGTTCCTAGTTCAGGAACTGTTCCAGAGCATATGTGGGAAGAAATTCTAGCCACCACAGAAGCACCAAATATCTGTTCTGGTTCCAAATGAGGCAGAAAGCAGAATTTGCATCCAAGTAGTAACTAACTATAACAACAAAAGGATGGTTCAGATATAAAGGAAGCTTTAAGCAAACCTCATCTAATTGCCTCTAAAGTGGCAATTCTCCTGGGCCATATGTCTGATTCACAAAATCAGCCAGCCCAAAAGTGTCCCTCTTCCACTTCCCAAGAAGTAATATGCAAGGGCTCGCTGAAATGGCTGCCATATCCTTTATGTGCTAAGCTTGGGAGGAGAGAATACACTTCTCACAAAATACTCAAAGGGCAACCATATGCACAGCATCCCTTTAGACACTGCCAAAACCCACCAATCAGGAACTGTGACAACCACAATCAGTGACTGTGACAACCATCCAGACAGAAAGTGATGGGGACAACCACCCAGTAAACAGATGCATCATAAAACACACCGTGTACAAAATAATGCCATGGTGCTACCATCTGCAACCTACTAGCCAGAAGCCTAAGCCTAACCCTAGCCTATAGGCAGGGCTTCCAATCCTCCTTATGGTGGTCACAAACATTGCTTTGGAGTGCAATGCACAAAAGAAATGAAGGAGACCCCCACCACATAGCTTGCTTAACAATAAATTGCAGAAGAGACAGCCCCCCTTGGACAAGGGTTCAAGACCTACTGAGAGAAAAAGACTCTTTTTTCAAGCAGCCCAAACACCCTTTTTGTATGGTATAAAATACCTTTTTGTGGCAAATATTTAATGAAATTATGGAATATTGTAATTAACACTAAAAATCTCCTTGTAGGTAGTAAAGTCAAACGTGACCTGATACACAAGATCTGACTCAACATTTCAGGCAGGAAATTGTGTTTTTTTTCCTATCAAATGTGC